AAGAGAAGCTACAAAAATACAAAAGTAAGTCTCTCCTGCAATTCATAACTGTGTCAGAAAGAGAGGGCAGGAATAAAGCTGTCGCTGAGCAGTTCCACCCTTCCAGATGTTTATACTGAACTTTGAGATGTTTTCCTTGCATTTACTGCTTTGTTATAAGTAAGGGACTGTCTTCCAGAACAGTGAGGCTCCTTTAAATCACAACAGTTTATACAAAAAGAACCTTCAACATTCTTATCTGTGCCCACATATTAGTTTCCAAATCTTACAGAATCAACTACATTCCTCCAGACAAAGTGGATGGTCTTACAAGCAGGAAAGGCCTAAGTGTCTTTTTACTTCCCAGGAACATAAAGGGTAAGTGATCATGAATTCATTGTTTGTTCTCCCTGTGTCCTGGGGGATAGATGTGATTCTTAGCTCAATAGGCGTGCCTAATTTTGGCCAAACACCATCAAGAACTCACTCAGCACAGAAGGCTAATTGGCAAGATTGATAAAATACATGTAAGAAGGGTTGTTGCTATTATGGTTATTTAAAATTCAGTTATAAAACATCAGTAAAATAACCTCACAGTCTAATGTGTAAATAGGGAAGAGTGCCCAAAGATATGTATGGGAGTATAGGGAAGAATTATCCACATTATAAAAACAAGGACCAACAAATCAAGGATGTGTGTTTAAGTAGCATTTAGGCAGTAGAATACACAGGCTGGCTTTCCAACGGTAATTATTTAAATCGGTAGCTATCTACGACTGACGGTACATAAGAAACCCTAAAAGATCATAACCTTTCATGACTTATTCCAGGCCATGGAAATCCAGACCAGAGCTAGTTTTCCTATTGCTGAGCTCGGAAATATTTTTTTTTTTTGGTGCTTTCACTACTTCTTAAAACAGTAGTTAGATATTGCCATCCATTTTTGGGCCAAACCTGTGTTTGGCCCAACTGAAAGCGTTCAGACCATAACCATGACTCCACCAGAAAAACAGTTCAGCTTCGTCCTTAGATATAAGAAAATGTAGAGGATGGAAGAGAGGGTCCCAGCTTACAGCTGTCCTATCTGCTAGGTTTCTGCCGATTCTCTTGATTGCTCATTTAAACGTAACACATGGTGGTGGTGAAAGGCAAGTGTCACTGAGCTGCAAGCCAAACCAGACCTGATTTTATGGCTATGTGCAGGACACAGATCAGTCCTGTCTTAGACCCAGTGCAAAGGAAAGGCAGGCTCTAGAGAAAGAGCTTTATGTTCCTTGTTACTTTCGAAAGATTTCAAAAGCAGCCTTGTTAAAAGAAAAAAGGGCTCAACTATGAAATCACTTCCTTTTGTTTAAAATATTTTACTCAAGGAAAAATACCAAAAGGACATGAAAAAAAAAAAGTCTGTTCTCTGCTTTTGACTTGTTCCTAGGAATCAGCATCCCACCCGCTCTGTGGGATGACGCAGTGTGCCAGATCCCGACCGCTCCAGCCAGCGCGTCAAGCGGCTGTAGCCCTTCCCACACAATCACCCTCTTGTCCAAGGCGGCTGGCATCCGCCCCGCACATGCTGACAGCATCGCTGCCGGGAGGACTGCAGCCCCTTTGGGAAGGCTCTTCTCCTCTTGGAGCAAGGCAGCAAGGCTCGAGGAGGGCAGGCAGTGTTTGTTAGCTGCCTAACAAGAAGCTCTTGTGTTAATTCCCACCCCCTCCTGCCCCCCCCCAAAATGTAGTGTGGATAGGGACGTGGAAAAGATGATCTGCTTGCAGCAGCAAGGCTTTGCCTGGGAGTACAGCCAGCAGAACGACTTCGGGAAGACCCCTTTATGGCAGTTTAAAAGTCAAACGAACAGTTCATTGCTGCCCAAAGCACAAGGGGGTTACTTATGGCTGAGCAGCATTTTAACAAATATCCTAAGAAAGGCCTGGCTTGCCTTCCTCTGCCAGTACTTGTAGGTTTACTCTGACTCCCAGCTGTGTTCTCCCTTGGTTCCCAAGGCACCCTCCATCTCCTCCAGAATGAACTGCCTTCTCCTGAGCAGGCTGACACACACCAGCTCCCTTCCCCACTCAGCTGTGGGGCAGGAAAGGAGGGAAACAGATCTTGAGAATAAACTGAAATGCTTCCTTTCCCCTCTCCACTTCCAGCAAAAAGTTGGTTTCTGCCTCAAAGAGCCATGTATTACTCTGATCTGCACCATTAAGAAGGGCAGAGGGTCTATTCCTCTGTGTTACTGAGGTTCACTGATGTGGAAAAAGTCAGGGACCGTGAGATAAATGCGCAGCAAGTTGCTCCAGGCAGCCTACGACACCCACCTTTTCTGCCTTCCCCAAAGCTGAAGCAGATAAACTCGCAGCACCATGCATTGACTACCTTTGCAAGAAGGCACTTGGTAAGCACAACACAAATATTTTCCTTCGGGAAATTTTAAACCAGCATTGAAAGCGGACTGTAAGCAGTGCCAGAGCACCAGGACACCCACCCGATCAACAGGCTGACTGCACCGTTTACTCCAAACTGAGGCATCACCTAACCAGCGCTGCAAAGTGATGCTTAGCTTTTTTTCTTTAGAACCAGAAAAGAATACTTCATTGGAAGTGCAAATTCAATAATACGGGATGGCACTCGTCAGCTGATGGCAACTAACGAACATTTCTCATGGTTCATCTAGCAGTCTGCTTAACACCCTGATGCGCAGACATGAACCTCCCCCCAGGCCAGATTCCTGGCTTCAGGCTATTTTTTTTCTAAATTAAAATTTATTAAAAAGAATCCCAAAAAGCAGAACCACAAACAACAAACCCACCGCTGTTCACAGCCATTTTATCTTGCAACTGTGTCTCACAGGTGGTAAG